GGAGTCTGCTTCTCCCTCTGACCCTCTCCCCTCTCATGTGCTCTCTCTCATTCTCTCTCAAATAAATAAATAAAATCTTTAAAAAAAAAAAAAAGAAAAGAAATCACCTAAGAAGCAAATGGCAGAGCTGGGAGGAATCCCAGGCCTCAGTGGAATCCACAGCCTGTCCTTCTAAACTCCACGTGGGGTTGTCCCCTGCCATAGCATGTGCTGCCTCTTAGGCCTTATCCCAAATTCTAGTACAAAAAGTATTTATCTTTGCTACAGACATTTTAGGCATCGACCAAAAGAGACATTACCTTCCATGGGGAAGAAAAGGGGGCCATAGAGAGGTTTGTTTCTGAAACTGTTACTGGCTGAGCTTTGGGGGCTGCTTCGAAATCCCATGCATTGCCAGGCCCTCTTACAGATAGGCCCCTGACCCACTAGGAAGCCTGTCTGTGACTAGGAACCCCTTGTCCTGGGATTATGGGGAGAACCTGTGGCCTTTTCCATGATCTCTTTCAGCACCTGGGGGGGCCCCCATGCCCCCCACACTCCCTCTTCACGGCCACACCCCTCCATCCCAGCTCCCCCAGCAGCTGGTTCAGAAATCAGGCGCCTCCCTCATCTTCACCCCAAACCTCCCTCCCTTGCACCCCAGATTCCTGGCAGCCAAATGTACACATGCGCGTGCATGGGCAAGTGATTCCACATTTACAGATCATTCCTGTTGTTCCCAGGACTCACACACAAACTCACTGCCCACCCCACTCCATCTCTGCCTCCTATTTTACTTCTACCTTCTCCCAGGACGTTTCTCAAAGGGCAGTCCACCCTGGCAGCACGGCCTGCTCGTCAGTCCAAGAGCCCCAGCATTTCTCTGGGGCCCCCACAGCCACACGCAGAGAGTTCGGGAATCAAGCAGGAGCTCAGTAAATACCTCCTGGCGGCGGGATGGACCACAGCTCGGGGGAGGTGGCGGGGAAGCAGGTCTCTGTTTGTGCACGACTATAAAACCTGCACACACACAGCCCTGAAGTCCGAAGAAGAAAGAGCCGCAGGGAACACATCCATTTATGCCCCCTAGTCAGTGACGCACAATAGATTGTCAGCCTGTCCCCGGACACAGCCCAGGCCAGGCTGGGGATGCGGTGGCGGGGGCGGGGGAGGGGTCTCTCTCAGCTCCTTCAGTGGCTGCGTCCGGGAGAACCCCTCCTCTCACTGGCATCAATAGAGGGCGGGTTTTGGGGTATTGATTACCAACCTTGCAGCTCAATAACTTCCATGTCTTTCCTGTCTATGAACACCATCTGTTTGGGAGAAACGGTACTGGAAAAGGAGGGTGTGCTAAGCGGTTAGAGAGAGGCAAGCTGTGGGTGCGAGGGGGGTCTCCTGCAGTTGAGGGGAAGCTCCAGAGGCAGGCAGCTGCGATGGGGTTTTTCCAAACTGGAATCCCACCAATGAGGCAAAGGTGGGGGAAGGCAATGGCATTGAATAACCTTCACTGGGATGTTGAGCAGGTCCGTCATAAATTAGAATGGTTTCCTGTTAGGAGGATGTGGGGAGGGTCTCCATGTGTGTCTCATTCCTCCCAAACCCATCAATTTCTCTAACCCCCACCCCCCCCCCGCCTGCCCACTGTATAGAGGGACTATGTCCCCAGGGGGCTGGTGCTCATGCTGTCCCAGTCATGGTGCAGGGAGGCATCTGAACCCACATTGACTTCCCTCCTCCGCCATCATCTTTCCCCGGGGCACTGTGCTGGGAACCCACATCCTCAGGCTCTGCGCTTAGCCTTGTGTTTTCCCCACTGGCGTCAAGAACTCCATGATGAGAGCAAACAGGTACTTGTCAAGGGGCTTGTCACCTGGTGCTAACAGGAGTCGCTACTACATGGGATGACAGGGTGGGAGTTCAAAACACCCTCCAAGGCTAGAGCTTGGGACTGGGTTCAGTGGGATGGAGGGAAGAGGAAGGTTTACAAGGAGCAATGTAAACTCAATTGTGCAGAGAGACTATGATGTCACAGGTGTATCTGTAAAACAGACAAAGAGATTTGGGGGGCCACCTACTAACAGAACCCATCTCAGACACTACAGTATAGTGTTATGTGGCTGCTAAAGAAGCTAAGGCCATTTTGGGCTATATATTAACAATTACGATACTTAAGTCCAGATTAATTAGGGTGGAACATGTTCTTTTTTTTTTTAAGGGCTTTATTTGTTAGAGAGACAGAGAGAGCACAAGTGGAAGAGGGGCAGAGGGAGAAGCAGGCTCCCCGCTAAGCAAGGAGCCCAATGCGGGGCTTGATCCCAGGACCCCGGGATCACGACCTGAGCCGAAAGCAGACGCCCAACCGACTGAGCCACCCAGGCACCCCAGGGTGGGACCTCTTCTTAATGCTGATGGGATTCTGGATCATGGAGAGGCATCTGGGCACAACTGAAAGAACTGACATTGAATGTGAGGGTTTGGGTTTGCACCTCAATTCTCCTATTCAAGGGTTGGTTGATTTCTTTGCACCACCCATCTTGCTGAGCCTGTTTCCTGATCTGCAGTACATGAGTTCTGATGCCTTTCTCACATATTCACAGGGTTGGAGAGAGGATCAAATAAGCCAAAATATTACAAAGGGGCTATAGGCTCATTATATCACGTCCGGTTCTCGGCATCCCATCTCAGGAGCTGTGTGTTAGAGCAGGAGAAGTAGGGAGGGCTGCAGTGTCCTCCGAGGACCCCACGTCTCACAAAGAGTGTGCTTAGTCAGACTGACTAGCTCTGCAGCTTTATGAGCTTTGTGATCGTAGGCTAAGTTACTTCAGTTCCCCGAGCCTCAGTTTCCCTATCTGTGATGTGGAGAATCACAGGGAGTTTGAAGATGATATAAAACCCTGGATATAAACCACTTGGCATAGAAACAGATATTCAAGAATTGCTAGATTCCTCGCTTTCTGAAGGAATTGAGGATGCATTACCAGGAGGAGAGAAGTCTGAAGAGGGACCAGATTGTTGTTTTCAAACACTCGAATGGTGGTCATGTGGAAGGGAGTAAACTTTCTATGTGTTGCTCTAGAAGCTAAAAGCAGTGGGTGAGAGTCAGGGGCTTCTGTTCAACAGGAATTGAGCACTTTCCATGCTTTTCCACAGAACACACTGCTCCAGGAAGGAATGAGTATCTGTCACCATTAGGTATAGAAGCAGGGCTTGATTCACTAGCTGTCAGGGACATTGTAAAAGATCTCCCTGCCACGGCAGACAGGGTGAACGCGAGTTCCCTTTCTACCTTAAAACTCTATGATCCATAACGCTATGTTCCTTTAATTCCCTCATATATGTTCTCACTCACAGAGACAAAACCTATAAAAGCAATCCCTTAGAGGGTTATGAACAGCTACCTCCGCGTACATGTAGCTTTAGAAAATAAACTCCCTCGGCTCTACTTAGAGGAGGATTGCCAGAGTAATTTGGGGACATTCTTCTGCCACATTCTCCATGGCAAGCAGAGCAATCTTGACGTCTCTGATGAAAATCTAAAGACCAGACAGATCAAGTAAAGAACCAATGGCCAAAACCAGACTCTGCCATTGAGAATTTGGAGTATAATCAACCTTGGCAAATCGTGATCTAAGCAAAAGTATATTTTACCCCCTCACCCTCAGTATTTTAATTTACATTTTTTAAGCATATAGAAAAGTACAGAATAATATAAAATATACTTTATGTATACATCAGGCAGATTTAACATATCTTAACGTGTGCCATATTTGCTTTAGATCTTTTCTTAAAAACTAAAATATCACTGATACTTCTGAAGCTTACTTTGCACTCCCCTCCAGTCCCATCTCCTTTTTCTACCCCCAGAAGTAACAACTCTCCTGAAATAGCAACCACAGCCATGCATGTCATTCTGTTTTTGTTACATATGTATGTATCCATCAGCAGTGCATATGTATTAGTTACCCATTTCTGTGTAAGAAATTGCCCTAAAACATAGTGGCTTAAAATGACAATAATCATTTATTGTCTTGAAATAAATTCCATGGGTTGGGAATTCAAGAGTGGCTTGATAGGGCCGTTCTGGTTTGGGCTCTCTTATGGTTGTAATCAGATGTTGGCTGGGGCGGCAATCATCTGAAGGCTGGAATGAGGCTAGAGGAACCACTTCCCAGGTGGCTCCTTCCCAGAATTAGAATGTTGTTAGCTATTGGCAGAAAGCTTAAGTTCCTCCTTATAGGACCTCTTCACAGGGCTAATTGAGTATCCTTATGGCATGGGAACTGGCTTCCCCAGAGCAAGTGATGAGAGAGAGAAGGAGGTGGGGGAGAGATCATACTCCTTTTTTACTTAACCTTAAAGTCTCATAACTTATTTCCATTATACTCCATTGGCCAGGGTAGCTCCATGTCCCCAGCCAGATTCAAGGGAGGAAACACTGACCCGAGCTTTTGGTG